CTAGCGTCGGCGGTGGCCGAGGCCCGCTGCGCGCGCGCGGTGCTCGAGTCGGAGGGAAGGGGGCGGGGAAGGCCAAAGGAGGGGTCCACGAGAGGGCTGGAGCTCCGTACGCACCAGCTGGAGTGCGCGCCCGGGCGGAGGGGGTGGGGTGGAGGAGGCGTGTCGAGCGGCGTGGAGGGAAGTTGTGGTAGGGGCGGGGAGAACAATGCGAAAGGAAGAGAGGGGCGGGAACTTGAGGCGAGGCGAGCGCGCCGGCTGGTGATGTGCCGTTAGTGAGGGGAGCCGGGGAAGAGTGCTGGAGCTGAGGGCAAGAAGGGAGAAAGGCGGTAGGTTCAGGAATATCAACTAGAAGTGCACGGGCGGGCGCTAGGACCGGGCATCAAAAAGATGCAGCTTTGGGGCAGCCTGTGCCCGCGCCTGCCTGGAGGTGACGCGGCAGTGGCGGAGGTCTCTGGCCTGGACGAAGCGCTGCAGGGAGAGGAGACTTAGCTACCACCTTCGGCCTCGACCCGCCTNCCCTGTTCCTCTCCCTTCCTAGTGCCTGGGGGTCGGGCTCTGGTCCAGGGGTGTCCAACCTCCCCTCGAGCTCCATGGCACCCTCCCCGCTCCACCACGCACCCTGGCTCACCCCCGCGCGATGCGGTCGAATGGTGCAGGTCGTGCGGGGGACCGGTCGCTGATTGGCCGCTGCAAGCTCGGGGCGGGGCGGGAGGGAGACGCTCGACCTCCNTCTCTGTGTCTTTCCCGCCATGTCGTTCGTGGAGAGCGCGAAGCGCTCTTCTTTGCTGCGCCGCCGCCGCGGCACCCCTGTCCCTTTCGCTCGTCCGCGGGTATCCGCGTTTACTCAAGGGGACAGTTGGGGTGAAGGTGAAGCCGAGGAGGAAGAGGGATGCGACCAAATAGCCCGCAACCTGCGGGCAGAGTTTTCTGCTGGGGCGTCGTCGGAGCCTAGGAAGGGCTCGCTACTCCCGCCGGAGAGGGACGGGTCCCCAGTCCTGCCCGATAAACGCAATGGCATCTTCTCGGCGGATGCGCGCGGCCAAGCCCAGGCTCGGCGGTGGCCGGTCCAGGTCCTCTCAATTCTCTGTTCGCTGCTGTTCGCCGTCCTCCTCGCTTTCCTTCTCGCCATCGCCTACTTGATCGTAAAAGGTACTGAAGGTCGGGCCTTGAAAAATCTGTTCGGGATAAAGTTGAGCCTGGACGTGTCTTTCGCCTGCATCACCCTTCTCCCCATCAAAGGCCGGCAAGCTGGTAGCCGCTCTCACCCAGAGCCCTCGACTGCACCTTTCTTTGCTCTCCTCCCATTTTCCGTCACTTTTCTCGAAGGTGGTTGGCCCTGATCGGTGATCAAGGGACCCATTTTAAGAAGGGATCTCGAGTTAAACAATAGCTTAGAGTCAGTGAACACTTGAGGAGAAATATTGGCAAAATTAAAACGCAGAACAACTATTAAAAGGAGGTGAAAAGAGTAAGCTGTACGTGTTCAAAGACTATTTACAAAAAATTAAAGATGTGCTATCCACCGACTTCTCTGTACACTCACAGAATTCCTGGAAAACGGGGATTCTCATCCCACAGCCCAAATTTCTACTTTTATAGCTAAAATAATTAGCCCCTCTCGGTATGAGGTTTGCAACCGAGTGTAGCGATCAAGTTCTATTCCGGGACCTAGTCTGCTTTCTCTGATTAATAATAGTTTTATTTTCCTGTGTCTGACCTTGACATATTGGCCAGAGTTGAATAGAAAGTTATGTGCCTTGAAAGGTTTTTCAAAGATTGTACGGATGTATTAGGTGGTTACAGTGGAGGAAAGAATCAGACCTGAGTTTAAATCTCAGTTCTCACTCGTGTGTGGCTTTGGCAAAGTTACTGAAAAAGAACAGTGAAAGCAAAACTACCTTTGTTGTATGAAAAACACCCACTCAAGTATTAGTTTTAGTTCACTAAATAGAATTAAATCTGTTTAGTTACAGTTTTTATTTTTCCTGATTGCTTCCAAGGGACTAGTGGGGCTGCAAGTGGCATCTTAACAGTTTACCATGCTTGATTTTCAAAGGAAACAAATTGGCAAGTTTTACCTATTTATACAATGGTGTTGGTTGTAAACTGTCAATGTTAAATATGTGTGCCATATCACTCCCTCCATGGCCCCTGCCCTTTTTTTTTTCACTGCAACTCAGAGGTTTATGTTTTAGGAAGTTTATTTCTCTTTTGCTCTGACTGATTGCCTTTTTATCATAAAGACACAAAACTTGTAAGGTCATTGCAGAGGACTGAGCTGTGCTTATTTTAGAGAATGGAGAAGAACTGAATTGAAAAACTAGTGTGCTTTGTTGATTTGCATTACATGAAATGCCTTCACAACAACCCCAAGGGATAAACATTCCCATTTCATATATATGGCAGTTGACTCAATAGCCCTCTTTGCTTATGGAAGGCCACATAGCTACTAAATGGAATTAATTTGAACCCAGTTCTTTCTGACTCTACAGCACTTTCCACAGCCCCACAGTGTCTTCCCAGCCTTTGAGCTACTGTTCAAATTATCTTTCTTACCCAAGCCCTTTTTTGTATTTACAGAGTTACATGCTGAGAATTTGAAGAAAGAAGACGATGTAGATACTGGGCTATTAGGTATGTACTTAATTGTCACTTGATTTGATTTTGAGACCACTGTTTTTCCAGGTCATGTTTAAACTACAACATTTTGGATAGAATACTTAATATATTTCCTTGTGCAATTGTTTCAGTCTTAATCTTTTTATTTGCCTATGTGTGTGGTAAATATTATTAGATTTTATATGTGTATACAGTGTACACACAAATATACCCTATACATATATAAAAAGAAAATAATACATATACATATATCATACATACTGGGAATACATTTTGAACACAACTGTATGTGACAGAGACCCAGAGAATACTTAGTGTTTTCTAGTTACGTGCTGGAAAGAGTCTTCCTATACCTCTTCCCAGAATTACAAACAAGTAAAAATAACTCCCTTACAGACTTAGCAAAGATATCATCTTAAGCAGACCTCAGGAGAAATTTAAGTTCAAATTTCTTTATAAGTAACTTGTTTTTAAACAAATGTAGAAAGCATTGGGCATACTTGCACAGTTTAATAGTAACTAGGAAAGTGTCAGACCTGAGTTTCTATAGAATGTCTCTGTTGAATGCCATAGTGCACTTTTCTAGTGAAAAATTCAAGGGGTATTTATCTTGTATTTATTTCTCTCTGCCCAGATGATTTTAAAGAGTTCAGAACTTTACCTGTCGGCATATTTATTCTATTTGCTATAATTTATTTGATTCTGAATTGGGGGGAAAAAATGATTGAGATCCTGTTCTGCCTGTCACCCCCTCCCCCAAATCTTAGCTAACTATTTAATCTACCTCTTCAAGGCCAGTGCCCTCAAGATGACACAAAGTATATAGTCTACCTGATTTTGCAGAAGGGGAAACCGTTATCTTCAATTTTCAAACAAATTAGTTTGCTACTTGCCCCATGAAAACTTGTCTATACTCTTCTCAACTTCTTGCATGAGAAAACCTGTATTTATTAACTTTTTTTATCAGTGTATGTTGTTATACTGTTTCATCTCTATAAAAAAACAGCCAAGATTATGAAGGCTTCCATAGCATTTATTAATATGTCAGCTCTTATGCAGTTGTGAACTAGATATGAATTCTATCTTGCTATTTAAAAGTTGGCAAGATTTCACATTTATGAAACAAATAGCTTCTTCAGTATCAAAAGGAATATAATAGGGCTTTGTCATTGCTCTGCTTGGTTTTCCACTTCTAGTTAATTAGTGTGGTATTGCTCCTAGGTATGCTTATTAGATACTTGACAGCAAAAGGCAAGATCATTATCTAAATCTTAGCTAATGACATGAATTCACTTTCAAGATTCAGGAACATTCTCAGGAGTGAGGAGAAACTATTGTATCTTTATGGCCCCCAAAAAATCCGCTAAACAATAGTTATGCCAAAATAAAGATCTTTATTTTGAACCAATTCTCCAATGGTCAAATGGACTAATTCAATCAATTGAATTAATTTCCTGGGGCTTAATTTTAAAGCTAGCATAATTATATTTATAGCAAATATATATAAGATGTGTAATAGAGAATTCTTTTCTCTAGCAAGAGAATTAGGATTCTTAAAAATCTGTTTCAGTGAAGCAGTGCTAAGCTGGAAATTTTACTTGTTGGGAGAAAAATACAAGTTAATGTCTTTATGGAGTAATGTTTTGAATTAAGTGCTAGCCTCTGCTTAAAAGTCCACCCCAGACAGCTGGTAGTTGAAAAGATAGGCCAGTTCTCTGTCAAAATTTGATTTGCATCCAAATCATCCAAGTCGATTAACTTAGATGCTAAGAAAGATTAATTTCCCCTGAGGAAATGCCTGTGAAATTATATCCTTACCTTTTTTTAATATGTAAGTTTTCACGTAAAGAAACAACCCAGAGTCTTTAATAACTTGTTGAAGTCTTTATGTACAAAAAAGCAACAGAATGCAGCCTTTTATCAGATGATACTGATTTTGCTGTATTTCGTTGTATTTATTTTGCCTTATTTGCTAGGAACCTGATAGCTAAATGTGATGATTGTTTTGTGTATTACCCTCTTTTTGTCATAATTACTATTGTCCATACATGTTGTTACCACCGTATTTTAATGACTCATGTTTAAATTTTATTGCAAACTGCTTCAATTCTTTGAAAGTATTGTTGGCTTTTAGATACAAATAATGTGAGTGCAGTAACTACCATGAAAAAGTTCTCACTTTGCACAATGCAAATATTTTATTGCAATTTAATCCTAGTCTGAAATTCCCATAGCTCAGTAAGAGCAGATTATATCAGTGATTCTCAATATGGTATGTATAAGAATCACCTACACTTTCTTTTGAAAAGCACCTCTAGATTTTGTTTTAGCCCAGGGTAGGACCCAATAATGTTTTTTTTTCAAATGCTGGTGATGCACCACAGTTTGAAAAATACTTCTGCAGGGTCTCATTTTTTATTTTTTTTAACTGTATTAGGAGTAAAGTCATAGAGAGTTGACTGATGACAAACAGACTAACAAGAAACAATGTATAAACCCAAATACCTGTTAAAAATCCTAATTTCCAAGGCAACCTATCAGCATGTCTCTCTCACATCAATATTCTCTCTCTTCCCCTCTCTCCCTCTCTCTCTTCCACTCTCTCTGAAAAGTAATGGAAAAAATGTCCTGAGGTGAGGATAAAAAAAGTCCTGACTTCCAAAGGAGATAAGAAACTGCCGTTCTCTTGTCATCTGCCATTCTCTTGTCAACTTTGTTTCTTTGAAAGAAATCTTTGTGGGAATCACTGTTTATAGTGTGTGTGTGTGTATGTGTGTGTGTGTGTGTGTGTTTTAACTGTCTAAATTGTTTAACAGGTAAGAATTTTACAAACATTGCTTATATTAGCCGTAACAGTGGAGCTGGAGAGTATTGAGCCTTCTCTAAGCTGCAGGTCAAGAACCACCAATAGTGTGGTGGAACTTGTGGCCCTTTCCAAGGCCACAGTTCTTATGGCCTGCAGATCAGCCCTCACATATGCCTGTGCTTGTGGACTGGTTTGATGATCCACTGGGTGTCAGGATTCCTTCTGATAGCCTTATGGAATGGATCAATGAGAATAACCAACCCAGTAAGAATTCAGGACACTCAGCCCCACAGTGGTATCCAGTATACTCCTTGGCAACAGACTGAAGGCTTCAAGCAAACTTTAGCTGGTTAACACCAGTTGATGGGCAGATTTGCCATAGGTCGCACTCTTAGGAACTGGCCTTTTGGGATCACCACAAATCCGATATAAGACAGCCTTGCTTGCCTTGTATCCCAACCTGTGCTGTTTATCAGGCCAGGTCAGGAGTTGGGGGTAAAAGGGGAGCTAGCGGTACTGCCAGCAAAACACCTAAGAAGGCAGCGCATTACATTAGACTACCTCTTCCTTCATAGCTCCTGGATGTACTTGTAAGCTCCCATTTGGCTTAACTGATGGCTGTGGGTAGATGGAAAGGAAGAGCCTTTCTCTCTTACAGGTGTTTTGTTTGTTTTTTTGGGTGTTTTTTTAAAGGTTCACGATGAGCCATGGTATTGGTGCCTCTGGGGAGTTAATTGGTCCTAATGGCTAACAGGATTAGGCTTTCATAATACTCCTCTTTCTTATTGAGGTAGTCTAGCCAGGGACGTGTTATTGACACTATTTCAGCTGATTTTGGAACTCCTTTTCCCTGATCTTCTCTGGGTGACATTGGAGTCATACATCAGAGTTCTTAGAGCTTTCTTTTTATGATTGTCCTGCAAACCATGCTCTACTGTAAGCCTGATTTTTAGGGAGATTAATAAAGTAAAACTTAAGTTTATTTAGTTAAAATCACATTTCAGTCCTCCCTCATTAAGGCTATTTATTGGCCAAATTGCACAACAGTGTGTTGTTTCCTTTATGCACATTGTCTTTTGTATCTGTCACATTTTTCCAAATTTTATATTACATTTCACAAATTTAGTCCTATTTCCAATTTTGCATATTTTCCCCTACTCTTAATATAGGATGTAATAAAATAACCTTTTATTTGAGGCAAACCTGAAATAAGTACATAAGGAAAATAGAAGGAATTGTCTTTAGCAGAAAATAATCTGAGACTTAACCAAATTAAGTGTGGGGCTAGTACTTTTATATATGTGTTGTAAATTGTGCCATACAGAAATTCTCATCAGACTTTATGGAGTTCCTTCAGTGTCTAAAATGCTTTCAAACTTGATCTTTGGTGCTTGTCATCCCTTGCCATCTACTAATTAGTAGTTAACATTAAGTCTGTGTGAGTAAGACCAGATTTCCTCGAATCTTGCAGTGTCAAGGGCTATTCTCATTTTAGCTGCCCGTTTTGTTTCTGGTTTTATGACTGAAATGTTTCCAGACTCCTGCACATTTACAAAGGAGAAATGACATATACTGAGTCCAATCAAATATAAAGCTAACTCACTTGAAGGGTTCATCAACTATTTCTTTATTTCTGCAGACTTGCTTTATTTCAGCTGGCATTAGAATCACCTGAAAGGATTTGTTACAACTCGTTTTAATGTGCTTCATCTGGTTTAGAGTGTCAGATTGAGTAGGTATAGGATAGAGCCCAAGAATTTACATTTCTAATAAGCTTCTAGGTGATGCCAATGCTGCTAGTTTATGAGAACCATTGGTTATTTCTGCTTACATATTGTACCTGTAAACTACTGCCTCCTCACCTATGACTTTATAAGAATTCTGAAACCTCATCTCTTTAAGCTAGAAATTGCTAAATAAAATGAAAATATTTAGAACATATAGTAATCTTTCCTTGCTGGAAGCTTTTACAGAAATACTGAAAGCTGCCAGCATATTAGAAAAACTAACTACACTTTGAAACTAAAATCACTTATTTTTTTAAAATGAAGTATACCAAAACAAAATATGCCATTAGATAAGTCAATGTAAAACTTCAACAAAGGGATTAGAATAGGAATTTCCCACCTACCTCCATCTTTGCTTTAGGTAAAATAATTGAGTCCAAGAGATTTCAATTGGTGGAAAATATGAATTTCTGTGATTTCTGATGAACTGATGAAAAGTTGAAATGTAGAGAAGAAGGATGTATATGTTCATCTAAAGGCCTATATTCTTTGACTCAGCAGTTCATCCTCTAGAGATTTGTTACAGATATCCTTGGACAGTTACAGTTAAGTACAAGATTGATTCATGCTGCATTGTTTTAGTAGTGATTGGAATAATAAAAATATGCAGCAGAATTGTGGCTATGTGTACTGATGTGAAAGCTCTCCAACATTGTTATGGAAATCAAAGTGTGGGCCAATTTTTCTGGTGAGAATTCCATTTGTGGAAAATAAACAATATGTGGTATATGTACATATATATCACATATTGTTTGTTCATAACTAGCTTCATATATCTACCTACATTACCTAGGTGGCTATAATTTTTAGAAGAGATGCACAACAAACTCTTAGCTGATTGGTTTTAGGAGTGTAATTAGTGAATTGGGGAAAGATGACTTTAACTTAATTTTTAGATACTTTTATACCTTTCAAAATTATGTCAACTCTTGGTAAACTGTGTTTACAAAACAGTAGTCAAATTTTTAGCTTCAGGACTCTGGCGATAGGGACTTGTTGAAAATTGAATTGTGGGGAGTTGACAACCTCTGGTTTTTCTGCTTGTTCATAAATAAATTGAATAATTTTCAGAAGCATAAGCACTCCTCTACCATGATGGTACAGTGTGCTCTTTTAGGCTTATCATTGTGACCTGACTTTTATCAGTGGTATAGTTGTTGATTAATTCAAAATGAATATAAAATTTTTTAAATGTCAAAAGTGGGGCAAGCACTTAGATCATGGGATAGTAGTCATTTCTGAAAACTCAAGAATATGCTTGTATTAAATTTGATAGGTGTTCTGTTGGGGCACCTGAGTGAAATAGCTTAATGGGCTTTAGAGAGCCTCACATTTTATGTTTTAATGATGTTTTGTCTTTCTCACTTTTTTAGATATCTTGAATTTTCCATCATTCCATAGCAGTACTAAACAGATACTTGATTTTTCCTAATTACCATCTTTGTGCTACAGACTTTATGTATTATAAGATGTTAAGCTTAGAGTAAATGTGTCAATTATTTTCTCCTCTCTTTAGAGGTGAGTATTCACTAAATATCAAAACAGCTAATTGGCAATGTAGTCACCCTTAAGTTGTAGTTGTAATCTTATAATTTCTTAGATTACACTAAGTAATCTTATAATTTCTATTTTTAATTTCCTGTATTACTGGATTGTCAGGAGGGTTGTATATACCTCAAGCCTTTACTGTAGAGGTTCTGTTTAGCCAGTCCTAGGTTGGGTTATAGTTGTAGAGGCTGACACTGTACCAGGATACTGGGATGGAGGTACAATCTAGTCCTCAAAACATTCACCCAAACAAGTTAACTGCTGAAACATCTTGCGTTCTGGTCAGGATGGCCTTTCAGATATAGCATCTTCCAGCCACATGACAGTCTACTGTTTCTGTGACCCACTCAGGACAGGGGCATCTGCAAGTTTAGCTCTGGGCCCATCTGCCAATGTTCTGTATGCAGCTATACTCACTCTCTGGTGTTGTGGCCTTTTCTGGATGGCTGCCAGGAAGTCCCAGCAGCACTGCCCCTTCCATATATACACACACAAGTGCAAACACCACACATAACCCACTTTCTTCAAATGGGGGAATCTTTATCACCTATAGATAAAACCCTTACTCTCTCCCTGTTCTACACAAACATTTTATCTGTACCCCAGTCAACTTACTCTTCAAGACATTTTCTTTACCCTCCTGCTTATACCTATCCTCCTAGTTCCCTTAATTACAACATAAAAACCAAAGAGGCACTGAGGCCAGTTCTCCTTTTTTTTCTCCACATCCTCCTTCTGGGGCAGTGAACACAAACCATTATCTCTTTAAAAGGGGGAAGGTAAAGAGAACTATAAGGAGAAAAAAATTAGTTTAATCTTTCAAAAATACTTTGCCACAGTTTTTCTTAATGCTTTATTGCACTGAGTGTGTCTGTTAGCAGTTTTACCAAACTACTCTTGGGCTTCAAATAGTTTACAAGCAGTCCGTGCATGTTTCTTGCCTGCTTCTTGCTAAAATAAAGACATCTTTAGTTGTGTAATTTTGTACAGCCAGGAAATTTGGTAATTGATAAGTCATTCTCTGTTGCAGTCTTCTCAACCTTTCCTTCCTCCTTGTACTATTGAGGCCTGGAGCACACTCATTAGTAGTGGTGGCTTAGTAACCTCTCTTAAGGAGGCAGTTTGAATGTGTATCTATAAACCTTCAAATTAATTTATTCCCTCTGTTTTCCCTGTGTTTGTTTCCCCAATTCTTCTAATCTTCAACCCTTTCCTCTTTCCATTCCCCCATCAAATCTCCATGGTTTTGATTTTATGTGAGAAAATGCAGGTCCAATCTGAGTGAAAATAGAATTTAGGATCCCAACCCATTTATAAATGGGGAGTTAACTTTTATTCATATACTGAGGAAGGTTAAAGAATTGGATTAAGTTTATATGTTCATAGGAAAGCTATAAAGCGTAGACACTCTAAAATTGATTCATATGTCAAAAGTGCATGGTATGGAAAGAAAGAAATCACTTAGTGCTAAAGTAATAAAAGACAGCAAGCGTGATTCACAAAGTTAAATGAAAAAGTATTAACTGAAGTATTTTAACCATTTCTTTATAGTTGAATTTTATAAAACTGAAGATGAGTTATGTTCTGAAGTTGAATTTATACTCTTTTCCAAATATTAAATTACAATTGAATTAAAATAGCCAATGATCTGACTTCTAGTTGTGCTTTAGTATTTTATACTTCTACGTGGATTAACTTATACAACCTCAAGTCTCTTATGTCACATATAATTCAGAAAATACACATGATCCGAATGTGAGGATATTGGTTTAATTTAAATTGTTTTGGTGTTAATAATTCAAGTTTTTTCCCTCTCTCTTCCCATTAAGGATTCTGGACTCTACTTATAATATCCCTAACTGCCGGGTTCTCCTGCTGCAGTTTTTCTTGGACAGTGACTTACTTTGATTCTTTTGAACCAGGAATGTTTCCTCCTACTCCTCTTTCACCTGCCAGATTCAAGTAAGTATACTTGTTTCTTCTTGTTTCTTTTTAACCCATTCCAACTCTCATGAAAATACTAAAAGCAAGAGGCTGCTTATTTGGGAGGTAATATGTTCAGGCCCCATTCCTTAATCTATAAAATACAACGACACAAGGTTTTTAACTTGGCTCAGCCTTTAGATAAATGGAGACAAGTATTTTAAACTCTATACATAGATAATGCAATGGTTTTTAAAAAAATGAAATTCAAGAAATGAATTAGGAAGAAACTTAGATGGCTATTTGTTCTTTTGAGATGGCATTTAATTTAAAACACTTTATGAAGGCTAAATTGATATCAGCAATGTGAAAGTTTTAGTAGATTCAGGTGTAAATGGTCAGACTTACAACAACTTAATAATTGGATTGGACTTTTTCTCATATTTAAACTTTGTGTAACAATTAGTAAACATTGATGGTACCCAACATATATGTCTAGACCAGATTAGATCCATTTCATAGTGATCTCTATTTTCTGTTTCAAAGCTTCAGAAAATTCAGTAGGCAGTGTTCTCTAATCTTGTTTATTTATGCCAGGAAAGCTGAGATTTTAAGTATAAATTTCCAAATTAAGTGCATTCTAAGATGTCTACTTTAGCCTACAAACCGTAGTGTTGGGGTGGGGGTAGAGTGAAGGAGGGAGAATAGAAAATAAATTCTGTTAAAGATATATATGTTATCAGAGTATTACAGTTATTACTGTTGTTACTGCCAGCTCTAGCCCACCTAATGGACAGCTTATAGAGATCAAATTAGAAAATCTATTTGCGGGACTCTAAATATGAAGTTTAATACTAATGATAGTTATTAATAATCATTGTTTCCTAGTCTCCTTTAGTAAAATGAAGTATTTTACTCAAAGTAAACTCGTATTTTTATGTCTTATAAATATATCTATAAAAATTTTGGCCTCACTTTAAATGAATGTGTGTGTGTGCATTTAAAACATCTTAATAAATCCTTATCTATATATGAAACATAAGTCATTTATGTACTTGCCAATAAATTTTGTGTGTGTTTGAAGTGGACAATGATTAATTAATAATCTAAATTGACTAAGTTATACCTAACAGTGCAATACCATTCCATGGTTTACGTGGATACCATTCAGTTGGACAGTTTATTTTGCTAAGTGATACAGTGTTCAATTCAAATTATATTCTGTTGCTGCCCATTGACACCAATAACTTCAGCAAGGGGTAGGAGTCTAATACAGACTTTACAGTCACAAAAAAACTTAAATCTCATTTTTTTCTTTTACTTATATCTCACTTCTCCCCTGAATTTCAGCCCTGCATTTCTAGCTATTTAGCAAATGTTGCAGCCTAGATTTTGGAAAACACCTTGCATTTTAGAGTTATTAAAATTCCAAACCTACACTAGCCAGTTTTGCTTAGTGGTTAGAGTGTCAGCCCATGGACTAAAGGTCTCAGGTTCGATTCTGGTCAAGGGCATGTACCTGGGTTGCAGGCTCGATCCCTTGCCCTGGTCAGGCAACCTAACCATGTCTCTCTCTCACATGGATGTTCCTCCCTCCCTCCCTCTCCCTCTCCCTCT